AAAATATTAGTACAACAATTTAAAGAACAATTTAATTTTTTATAAATTCTTTTATCAATTTTTTTCCTGTTCTTTTTTGTTTTGCTAAAGTTTGATTAGGTGCCATTTTGAAAAAAAGTTCAATTTCATCAGCATTATAAACATCTTCTGAATTATATTTTGATAATAATTCTTGTAATTTTAAGTGTTCTTCAGCTAAAGATTCCAGAGGTACAGATTTAGCTTCACTATATAACTTATATATATGAATATTATTTTTTTTTTTAAATTTTGGTAACTAGTCTTTGAAAAAAATTTAATTGACTTTCTTTAATATTAAAATGAGTTGCAAATTCTTTTCTTTTTTCTTGAAGAATTTCATCAGAAATTATCATACCACCTGTAATAACTTGATTAGTTCAATATATTAAAGCTTTCTCAAGTAAGGGAAACTTGACATCACGATGCTTTACAATTGTAGAAGTTTCAGAAAAGAGCCATTTCTTTTGCTGTGATAGAATTCTAGTAATAGTAGACCTTTTGATATTAAGACCATATTTTGAACTAAAGAAAGCTGCAATGTTATTATGACTTATTAAGAGATGTTATAAATATATGTACAAATATCAATACACTGAGAGTTATTTATTGCATTTTTTTTAATTCTTTTTTGTTTTTTTCTAGAAAGTAACATACTTTGTTAAACATCTAAGCATATTGTCATATGATTTTAAATGTGTATCTAAATGATTGATGATTACATGGAAGGAGCATTACTAAGTATAGGGCTCAAAAAATTGGTGATAGTGATTATAGATGAAATGTGATTATATAAGATACTTTTAATTAGAAATTTGATTTGTTCTAGAAGTTGTAGTAATTATAAAAAAATGTGATTATATAGAGTGTAATTATAGAGAGACCTGACTGTATTTGTTTGAACAAGTTGTACTTGTGAAAATGGATTGTTTATATTTGAATTTTGTTGTGATAGTAAAATGTTAGTATATGGATCAAGGTAAGGATTATTTCTTGTTAACCAGATGTCTGCTCTTTGTAAAATAAAATTTTGATGCAAATTATTAGATTCATTAATATTATCATTATTATTAGTAGGTTTCAAAAAGTACCTATAGTTCTTGAATATAAAGTATGGGCTTGAATATTACATGTATAGTTTATTGTTTCAATTAAACTTCTGTATTTAGAATAAGCATTACTATTGGAAATTCTTTCTAGTGAACATTGTAAAAAAACTGGTGATAAATATTTTCTTAAATGTAAAGAAACTGAATTTATTCTTCAGGAATTAGAGATAAATAAGGAAAAGAAAATTGTGTTAATAGTTTTTTGCAAAAGTCACAAGTAGGTATTTTAATATTATTAGTATTGGAATAAAAAGATAAAGATATATTTGATATATTTTGTTGTATTGAATATGTAATAGTTATCCAACATGCTTTTTTTGAATACAATATTTTCCACAATATAAACATGCAATTTGAGGCCATTGTTTTAAAATGTTATTTTTAAATTTATTATTAAGATGTTGAAATTTTGTAGAAGGTTTCCAGTAAGTTAATTGAGTTGTATTCAATTGTATTTGATTAAATTGTATTTGATCTGATTGTAATTGATTTTGAGAATTATCAATAGTTGTTATAGGATCAAATGGAGTTTCTTGTTCATTATCAAATGTATAAATATTATAAAGTTGATAATTCATTTTAATTTTATTTATTTTATTTGAAAAAAAAAATAAAAAGATATAAAATTCTAATGTAAAAAGAACAGAAAATACTATCTTTTATATATTTTTAATAATTAAGAAGTATATATTTAATTTTAATTTAATTGAATTATTTAAAGTAACTAATTACTTTTTTAATACCATTTAAATTTTATTGTACTAATTAAATTTTTAATATCTTATTTAATTTTATTGTTACCAATAAAAAATTATTATAATATTTTAAATTAAATTTATTGTGGCTTAAATTCTGAGTAACATTTTGTTTACAAAAAATAAAAATAAAAATATTTATAAGATAAAAAAAGTAAAAAACAAATTTATTTATAAAAAAGATAACAATAAAATTATTTATAAGATAAAAAAAGTAAAAAACAAATTTATTTATGAAAAAAATATAATCTGAATTTGTATTCCTTATTCAGTAGGTTGGATTTGTGTTTCTTCTTGGGTGGCTTGAATTTGTGCACCACTTGGTACTGGATTAGTAGACATTAAAGTATTAATAGTTTCTTGTGTAGGGTTCATTTGTGAAAGAGTAGTTTTTCTTCAATTATTATTTCTTGGCGTAGCACCTCTTGATGAACGATTTCTGTTTGAATTTGTTGGTGTATTCATCCATGGAACATTAAGTGTTTTCTTTCTATCATTAGTATTAGGACGATTTGTAGTTACTAGGGAAATATCCATTAATTTAAAATATGCTTTTCTGGTTCTGTAATTTCGCCAGTTATTGCATCAGTTACTGGTGATTTATATTTCATTGTACCAATTAGGATTGCAGTTGTAGATCTGATATTTAGATTGATTGCATTTGTTTTTTTAGCTAGATATTCATTATTTGTTTCATGTTGAACTTCTAACCAGAAATCCTTTGGTTCTTGGTTACCAATATATTATTGAATAAGGAATTCAATTGATGAATTGTCATTATGAATTTGAACGGTTTGTGTTGTTACACCTGTCAATGTTACATTGATTCCAATATTTGGCATCGTGTCAAAATCTAGTTCTGGCATTAATTTTATTGAGGTTGCGCTCACCTTAAAAAAAAAAAAATTTAATAAAATTAATAAATGCATTGAATTAAATTAATTTTTCACTTTGCTGAAGAATACATACCGAATACCATCCTTCACATGCGACGAATTTTCCAGTTATAAATATTACTTGCTCCTTCTCAAATTCATCAATATATGTTTTGATTTTTTCATCAAGTGGAATAAATGCTTTTATCTTTAGATAAAAGATCGTATTTGGATTGTCCTCTTCCATTTTAACTATTCCAGTTGTCTCTTTCACCAAAAAATTTTGAAGTGATACGTTCTGTCCAATCATATATATAACAAATAGTAGTCAGTTTCGCGGGCATTTTTGGTTCTAAAAAAAACTTTTTTTTATTATTTTTTCTTATTTTTTTTTCTCATTTTTTTTTCTCAACGGAATGCTAGTTTAACAAGCTTACCCCTTAAATATGGAAGTATTTCATAAGAAAATAATATTTGTATTACATATTTTTTTTTTTGTATTTAAAGAACTGCTAATCTGAGGGCGGGCGGGACTTTACTCGTATAATCGTAATCGTAATCGTAATCGTAATCGTAATCATAATCGTATACGAATAAATAGAAGAAATAAAAACCCAGGTTTTTGGTAAGATTTTCTTACCAAAAGAGAATAGTGGCAAATGTTTTAAAATATCCTTTTCAAGGACTTTTTCGTAGGATTCACCACTCACGTTGCATTTATTACGTTTGCGACACATCGTGACTTTCCAGAAACGGACAAAACGTTAGTTCCAAAATCTATTCTACGATAATTTAACAATCTCTCGTATTTAAGATCACGTGAAAAGATGAACGTTTTTTAAAAAAAAAAAAAAATGTATTAACCTCTTTAAAATGTCTCAATGGATTTGTATAAAACCAAAATGCAAGTTTTAAAATTTTGATATAATAATTCCAATGATTACAAACTTATAAAAAAAGACTTTTATAGGTCAAGAAAATGAAGAAAATTTCATTTCAATTAGTCTTCCCCACCCAAGAACTGGTAAAGAGAAGAATGTTAGGACACCTGAATTTTACATTAAAAAAAATACGCGCCTAATATTTATTATTTTTTTTGAAAGGCTTACCGGCGCGTTATATTATTCAAGATGGAAACTTATTCGAAGCACAACGGATAGATTGTAGTTCCCAAAATTCATGGTTTATTAAGGATACCATTCAAAAAGGTAAAAATAAAAACTCATTTATAAAAAAATAATGATCGAATAACTAAGACCCTCTTCCTCGATTTTTTTTTGGACAGATGGAAGTATGATCCTTTTTACGCGAATTGATCCATTATTTTTAATGATTCCTTTCCTGGAGAATAGCCGAAGAAAAGTAATTAACAAATTCGATTATACTTTATTATTTTATTATTATCTTTATTATTATTATTATTTTTATTATTTTTATTTTTTATTTTTTATTTTATTTTTATTATTAAATTATTTTTATAGAATTTAGAGTCACCAGGATTCTTTCTTACACTAGAAGATATTCTTGATAATACAGATTATCCTAGTACGACACGACTTTTAACAATAAATAATATTTTAACTTATATGGAATGGATATGTGATGGTAAAGGTAGATTGAGAGTGATATGATATAAATATTATCACATTTATTATTAATTTTATTAATTTTATTGTGATATTCTTGAATAAGATATAAATCTGGATAATAAAGTGTATAGATTGAATGATGATAAAATGATGAAATGGTTAAAAGGAAAGGTAAATATATGTTACTTTATAAATAAGAGAAATATGAAATCTAAATTTAAAAGATTTTCTAATATTTTCTTAAAGGTTACAAATCTTCTTTCAAAATTTGATCAACATAAATCTTTAAGAAAACTCGCAGAACAACTAGATAATGAAACAATTAATGATCAATATCGACAAGGTAAGTTTAATGTTTCTTTTCATTGTAAAAATAAATAATGATAACTTTCTAATTTGAATTTTAGAACTTCGAACAAAGTTCATATTAGAGGTCATTATGGAATATTTACCAAATTATTGGACTGAACAATTGAAGAAAGAATACAAGTAAATTAATAATAATAATAAATAATAATAAATAAATAATAATTATTATAATTATAATTATATAATTAAATTGTATATTGTGTTCAAAAATAGATTTGATGAACTTGGTAAATGGTCAAATCAAGAGATTTTTTATATGACAGATAACACTCCAAAATATTCTGAAAATAAACAAATCGAAGTGGAAGATAAAAAACCAGTAAAAGTAAATATTTAATTAGTTCAATTAATTATTTTTCTTTTTTAATAGTAATATAAATAATATATCAAATAACATATATAACATTTCTTTTTGGTATTTCAGAAACGTAAATTAACACCTGGTCAAACAACATTAGCAAAAGCTAACAAAACTGGAATGAAAAAGTTGTCAACTTTCTTTTCTAAAATTCCTAAAGAATAATTTAGATTTAATGACAACTAGAATTATTAATGGGTAAAAAATGAATAACTAATATAATATAATTAAAGGTTATGAATCTAATTTGGTGTGTATTAATATATTAACTAAAGTTTTTAAGGATTATTATTCAAAAATTGTAATTAAAGTTTTTAAAGATTATTATTCAAAAATTATAATTAACAATATAATACCAGAAAATACCTGATTAAACAAACCTTAAGTGACCAAACGAATTATCAATTAATAGATGTTTTAGTATTTTTTTCAAGTAAATCTTTAGCCTCATTGATTTTACTTGCTAGATATGGAGATCCTCCTCGATCAGGATGATTAAGTAACATAATGCGACGATGGGCTTCTTTAATCTTTGTTCTATCTAATCTACTTTCTCTTGTAAAATAGTTCATTAATTAAAAAATAAATAATTTTTTGGATCTAATATTTTCAGAAATAAATTATTTACCGTATGCCTAATATCTGTTTTGCTTCATTCACATTCATTTTAGGATCAAACCCTCCTTTCGGCCGTTTTTTGACTACTGGATTATTAAAAGCCTTTTTCAGTTTTGGAAAATTTTTAATTCCATATCTGCCAGCAAAGGCTGCTGTTGCAACACCAACTGATATTATTAATACTGAAGTCGCTGACTAAACAGTTCGGATATAATTCAATGAACATATATTTTAGTTGGATCAATAAAGAAAATAAAGAAATGATATTATTATTACCATTACTTCCTTGAGATGAAAAAAAAAAAAAAAAAAAAACTGAAATATTTTTGGTGTGACATTTAAAGCATTTAATAATCAAATTTATCATGTGATATCATTCTTTCTCGACAGTATTACATTTTTAACATGTCATAATTATAAATATCATCATAATTTTAGTATTTTATTCTTTGACAAAAATTAAGAAATAAATAAAATCTAATTTATCAAATATTTAATTACTAAAATTATATAAATTACATAAATTACTAATAAATATTACTACAAATTATATACAATCTTACTCTAATTACCAATTAAATTAATTAAATTTATATGTTTTTTAGTTTTTTTTTTCAGTTTTACAGTTGATAAAAAAAATCATCAAATTAAAAAATTAAATAATTAATACAAAAAAAAAAAATTACAATTTCGCACCTTTTCGTGAGAATAACCCAAAATTTTCAACTTCTAAATACGTCGAGATTTTGAAATGTTTTAATTAACTACGAAATTACGAATATATAATCAGATAAATACTTTTATAATCTTTTATAATTATAATTAATCTTAATATTCACTTAAATAATATTATTAAATATATAGGTACATTAATTAACCAATCGATTTCAATATGCACTAAAGTCCCCCACTCATTATAATTCATGCTCTTTATGTGTAATTGATCTTCCGTTAATTTTTTTCATGTCTCCGCTATTTCTGAATCTTTACATGATTCACGGCTCTTTGGATTTTGTTTATGTCGTCTGAGTGCATCCAATCTATCATCAAATGTAGACATGTTAAAATCTTGAAATATTCTATTAAATTTGTATTAAGCTGTATTAAATTTTATTAAGCTGTATTAAATTATATGAAACTAAATTATTTAAGATTTGGTATATAACGAACCTCGAAAATAATTTTTTGCATCCGAGACATTTATAAGGTTTTGCATTTTCGTGAATTTTTTGGTGTCTTTTAAGATCATGATTTCGTGCAAATGCTGTTTCACATGATGGACACTTGAATGGTCGATCTGTTGAATGTGTTCGTTGATGTGATTTGAGATTATAAAGTCTCACAAAAGTCTTATTACAATGTGGATATAAACAAGGATATCCTAATTGTAATTTTTGTACATCTCCATCGGTAATTTGGGAATCTTCACGAGAAACAATTTTTAATCGTTTTGTGGATTGCATCGATAATTCCTTTTCCAAGTTTTTATTATCATATATAGAATTAGATAATTCCTTTTCATTAGAAATAAGAAATGATTCAGGACCAACCGAATATGGAGTTTCTGAAAATTCATTTGTTGCTGATTGATAAAAGAATTGTGGATTTTCTGCCATCGCTGTAATAAGTAAATCAGCAGATAATCCTGGTTCTTCTAAAGAATCATTAATTTGTTGTTTTCCAGAATCATTATCTTTGGTAATAAATTCTTCATACTTTTCATTTTCCCTCATGACTCTGTGTTTTGGAGATTGCGATGTTGAATATACTATCTTTGTATCAATTTCTTTATGGGTCGAGAGAGTATCAGGAAGCAAAGATGAATCCATAACACTACTCCAATCTATCGAAAGGGATCCAGAAGTTGTTGCCGAGTCTGTTAACTTCTGTGTAAGTGTTCCCCATTCCGTCTCAAAATACGTTTGATCTAACGTTTCTTCTTCCATTTCTTGCAAAGTGCTTGGATCATCTAATTTGGGCTGAATAACAATAATATTCCATCTTTCTCGGCATTGATCTTCAGTTCGACCAGAAATAGTTTCTGCAATCTCTTTCCATTCTCCATGACCAAAGTTATTAATACCCTTTTTTAACAATTCATCTTCTTCTTGACTCCAATCTCTAGTGGCAATGGTAGAATTACTGATAACTCTTTTTGAATTTGCATGTGACGCGTTTGAAGGCTTGTTATTAGATCCGGGAATATTTGCAAGTCCTAGCAACTGTAGTACTTGCGCCGCTGCAGTTTGTTCTTCTAGATCGTCCATTGATTCAACGATGCCTTTCTTATTATATATATCTTGATTATCTTGATTTAAACTTAAAATATCGTCAGAAATTGAATCTTGGGAATTTTCTCGTGTGGTTAAAGATATGGCATCAAGTGCTTGTTGCGTCATTGATCTCGTTATTCGTCTTTTTATAAGACATTCTTTTTGTTCAATTCTGCCTCCAGTATTTTGCTTCGCTGACGAGTTATTATTAGTTTGCCCAGTCGGCATGGTAGCGAAATCTTGAAAGAGGTTAGTTTCGATCCACGCGCTTATTGTTTGACTAGATGGCACCATGCCTCCTTCGAGGCTTTGTGAAATTGAATATAGTTTAGGCTTATAAAAGATATGATTTGATTTTCAACCTTTTTGAAATTTAAATGCGGGCAATTATAACTAGTATATCTTTTGTAAAAAAAAAACCTATTAGTAATTTCAATGAAAATAAATTAATTCGTAAAAGTAACAACAAGAGTGATGAGTCCGTTATAAATGGAGGCTTTGGTGATTGTTATTTTGTCTTGTGGCTTAGTCTTATCAGGAGTCAAATTCCTAATGCACGTGAACATTGTTATGAAAATCGAATCTGGTGGTGATTGTCACTACTGGGCAAAGTTAGGGTTAGGAGTTGATCAGGGAATTATATAATTTTGCCCAGTGGTGACAATCACCACCAGTAAGCTTTAAAATAATGAAAACAGAGGAATTAGAAAATAAAAAAATGAGAAAAGAAAAATTTTAAAAAAATTATTACAAGTTACAATAGAAGCAAATGATAATTATATAATTGTAAACTAACTGATATTTATCTGATAAAAAAGAGTTTCTTTATTTTTTTTTTTAAAACACTGCAATCATTAGTTTATTAATTAAACTTTATAGACCTATAATACTACCACACATGTTGTCAAAAGTAAAAAGCCTTTAACTCAATTACTTGTATTGTCACCTGACTACTGGTCAAGAAGTGACTTTCAGTTCTTTTAGAAGTTTATGATCCTTTCCAATTGATTATTTATAGGAGATTTATAGTTCTTCCTGATGGGCACAAGACTGTTGTTTATAGAAGTTTTATAGTTTTCCCAATGAGTACAACAAGACTGTCAACCACTTCCTTGATTCCTCCTTGTGTATTTGTTCAGATGGACAACAAACCCTTGTGTTTCCAGTTGAGATATCACTGACAATTTCATATTCTGGATAATGTTACTTGATCATCTTGCTGATGTTCTGAACTGACTAGCATATCAGATCTTGGCCTTTTGCGTGGGTTTGTCTGTTGGTTGTCTCCAAAGACTGTAATTTAATAGTCATTTTCTACCAGGAGTACACCTTGGAGGTAATCCGTTCTGTGTACTAATAAAAGATGGTTTTTGTTTAGGAATGTGAGCTACTTACATTTATATAAAATGTGGAGATAAAACTGTATTTAATCATAATAAATGGTTTTCTTAAAAAATTAAAACAATATAAGAAAATAAATCATATCATAATAGAATGCAATTCTGTTTCTCATAATTCTTTAATTATTTTTCTCTTCCATTTTTATTAAATGAATATTGTATTACACAAGTGAATTTTCAAACATTTGAAATAACTTTATTTTTAAGGAATTGCGAGCCTATGTGGAAGGTAAACCTAAAAAATTTAAAATACTAGAGGTACTTTCTGGGCTCAGGATTATTAACTAAATATTTCTTATATATAAATGCTCAAACATCGGATTTTATAAAAAATGAAATACATGAATTAATACTAGTTATTCTATAACACGCAAAACGGGATGATTAATTCCTTTAGAAATCTAATTGAAACTTAAAAACATTGTAAAACATTGTATTTAAAAGTCTTCTGCAAAATATGTCTCTTCAGGAACGTATGACGTGAGAACAGTACGTTCAGCAAACTTTCGTCCGGCAAGTGCACGAAGTGCTGCACCTGCTTGCTCAATCGTATCAAAACGTACAAATATCTGGATTTAAAAGAAATAATAATATAATTAAAATTTCAATTATTATCGTTGAATCAAGTAATAAACCGAGTTAAAATACCTTTCCAATGCCAGTATCTGGTCCCTTTCCCGGTCTAGGTATCTTCATATCTACTACATGACCAAACTTGGAACACTCTTCACGAACATCCTCAACGATATCTAAAAAGAGTAATAAATTATTAATTATCAAAAATCAATAGCATCTGAGTTTAAATTAATTAATATTAAATAAAATACCTTCATATTCTTCGTCATCTACTAATTCTTCTTGAGTTACCATATTTAACAATTGTAATACAGTGGTGGGCAACATTTCTCCATTGCCTGAAGGAATAAGCACGGATGAAGGTAAAGCACTTGCGACGCCTGCATTTTTAGCCGAACCAACACTAGCACGTTGAACAACAAGTTTACGATCACCAAGTTCCATGTTATTTAAACCTTGACAAGCCAAATCGGTCACGCTCGGATCAACATATTCACAAAACGCAAATCCCTATAATGATAGTGCATTCAAAAAAAAATGCATTTTAAACAACAAAAGCCAGTACATCATAAATGTAAAATTGAAAGTACCTTAGATACCCCTGACAAACTGTCTTTAACCAAATTGAATGCTCTAAGCTCACCAAATGACTTTAAAAGTTCCATAACTTGTTCGTCATTTAGGTAAGTAGGCAAACCTCCGATGAAAATCTTATTGGGACTATCGGGAACATTAGTAGAGACAACACCGGGAACATGAATTGGTGGTGGCTCAATATTTTGTCCTGGGGGTGGTTGGTAATCTTTCGGACGTCGAATTTTTAAAGATTGACCCTGAAAAGTAATTCCATCAAAAGCCATTGCTGCTGTCGCTTCCTCTGGTGCACGAAACTGAATATTATAAATATTATAAAGAAATTGATCAAAAAATCTATTAAATTTTTAAAAAAATACACACAATGAATTACCTCGACAAATGCATAGTTTTTATCATGATTGATTTGAACGGCAATTACGGGATTTCCAGGTGCAGTTGTAATATTCAATTGAACCATAGTAGAGTTGAAAAATTCCGATAATCCGGCCTAAATAAATAGAAAATCTTTATGAGTTATAATCAGAAGATTTTTAATCTTCATATGATATATCATCAATTTTATATACTTCGTCAATTCCGTACGGAATGTTTCCAACGTAGAGACGCCGCGCTTGTCTTGCTAAAGACGCAGTCTGTGCAACTGGTCCGGCAGCTCCCTGACTAACTTTGGGACGAGGGGGTAGTTCATGAGTCATTCCCATCATCATTGCAGCTCTAGATGGATCCATTCCCGGTATTACAGGAGAAGTAGGAATTGCTACAGGTCTTGTTGAGGCAGGTTGACCAGGAAGCGGGAAATGACCTTTTTTTTTAATATCAAATTGATATTCGTATAAATTTTAGGAATTTTTGAATATGCCAATTAAAATGGGGATTATTACCTGTAGCTTTAACTTGTTCAGCTGTCATGCCTTCATATCCTGGAGGTGCGACATCCCAATTGTTTAATTTTCTCCTCCTCCTATCGATAGGAGTCACTGATCGAGAACGTGAACGATGTTTTGGACTACGACTTCGCCGTCTTATGCTAAGACTTCGACTTCTTTTCCTTGATCGTCGCGACCTGCGTGCTTCTCTTTCTTCACGTTCTTCGCGTTCACGACGAGATCTATCACGACTACGCTCCCTTTCTCGTCTTCTATTTTCACGATCACGGTCCCGTTCGCGATCACGGTCTCTATCCCGTTCACGTTCACGCTCTCGGTCTCTGTCACGCTCTCGATCACGTTCACGATCCCCTCTATCTACTTTATCCCCTCGGTCACTACGTTCAGACCGTTCTCCACGGTCCGTACGCTCAGATCTATCATTTCGATCGCGTTCTTTATCCCTTTCCCTATCTCTATCCCCTCTATCTTTTTCTCGTTTTTTCTCTCTTCGGTCACGGTCATCTTCTTCTTTAATAGGTCGGTGTCTTTCAACTCTTTCCGGAGAACGATCGCGATGAAGTGAACGGTCGTCATATGAACGAAAAGCTGTGAAACGTTGGTACAAATATACCATACATAGCAATAAAAAGAAGAATAATTTTATGATTTAAGTTTTATTAGTATGACCTAAAAAAAGGGAGTGAGAAGGTTCCATTTGGTTTCGAATCTGCCCGGTAAGTTTTCATGCAAAAATATGCAATAGGATCGAAGTTAAGCTGCGCTGCTTAAATAAAACAAGGGTGAAGAATAGAATAGAATAAAAACAGTTGCATTGCTCAGATGATGATGTAAGTAGGAAATAAATAAAAAAAAAAAGATCTTTTCCAAAACATCTTTGATTTTCTCTTGTTTGGAACTATCAAAGGAAAGAGAACCCACTAAACGAGATTATCGTCCACAATAAAAAAAAAAAAAAAAAAAGAAAATAGAAAGGAAAAGAACAATAACGACATAACATTAGTGACTATTTTTTCCCAAAAAATTCCAAGAGAATATAAAGAGGGGATTTTTAATAAAACTTCTGAATATATCTCTCATGAATATGATTTTGCAACTATTTTTAAAATATCTAAAATATCTAGACTTAAAAGGAATTAAACGCTTCTCTTGATAAAAATGTAAATAAACTAATAATACTCATTTGTCTAAAGTTATGGTCAAAAACACAACATACCCTTATCAGGTGTGAGTTCTTTCTCTCGCTTAATGTAAGTCATTTCTATGTCAGTTGTCAAGGATAGAGTTGACAAAAAATTTGTGGCCAAATCTGAAGCACGAGTTGAAGTTTCTAGTATAACAAAGAATACATTGAGAATTTAAATTTGAAAATAGTTTGGATCTAAAAAGCGGGTTTTGGAAAACCTTGATTATCTTTAGATTCTTGAGCAAGCGAAGGCCAGTAATCACGATAATTAGAATCAGGATTGTTCTCCATAGTGCATATCTTTTGAGCAAAAATTCTTTGAAATCAACTTTACCTTCATGTGCAATCACGTGGATAAGTGATTTAATGGCTAAAATAAGGCGCAGTTATTGCCGTTTTCCGACGTTTCGAACATTCTAAAATAAAATAACAAAATTTTGTAGATCTTTTGCGGAGATCCTCCTCTTCGAAGGTTGATGTTTTCATTTTTTTTGGACTGGTTGAAAACATTTAGTTTAATTTTATAATATTTATAATTAAATATATAGATTTCACAATATGTTCAAGCGTTTTGATAAAATATAAGTACCAAATGTTTTGATTTTGCGATAAAGGAATACATAATAGGTTTTTTTTATTTATATAGACGCTTGATATTTAATAAGTACATGAACACATTATTTTATTACATTAGTATTTCAAAATAAAAAAATCTGAAATGTCTTTATATGAATAAAAAAATATTTATTATGAATAGATCTCATTCATTGATCTCAACTTATTTTCGTTGTGATTTCTTTTAAAATTGAATCGATCTTGAAGTAATGATTCAATCTTTCTCGATAAACCTAATTTACGATTGGCTTGCGCGAATTTCGAAATAGAATAAAGAAATTTCGATTTAATTTCATTAGAATAATTTCTTGAGTTGATAAATTCTTCTAATTGTTGAGAAATTGTGTTTTCATCATATTCTGAATTTGAAAATTCATTGTTAATCTTTGTAAAATAATAATAATACTAATAATAATAATAATAAATAATAATAATAATAAACATAAATTTTATATTTACCTAACGAATCATCCGAAATTTTCATCCTTAAATCTTCAGAAAATTTTGATGATTGAAGTTTCGATAAATCTTTATCCATTGAATAATTTCGAATATTTTTTATTGGTTTCAAACGAAGGTCCCTTGGTTGTTGGTCAGAAGATTTTCCTACATTTGTGACTTGATTGACAACCTGGTTTAACATATCATCCAAACCTATAGATGGTTCCTCAGCTAGAACTAATTCAGCTGCTTGGCTTAAAAAATTAAGTTTATTATTATATTCTATATCTTTATCTTTAGAAGAATTTGATTTTTTTACGTTTTCAACTTTTTCTACATTAGAATCCATTTTTTCTGTTTTATCGTCTAGATTATTAAGTGATTTTTTTGATTGCAATTTATTTGTAGTTGTGGTTGTAGTTGTAGTTGTAGTTAAGGTTGAACCCATTGATGCTGATACTAACATATCTAATCCAGTAAGTAATGATTTTGGCATTGGAATTACAATATTTCCTATTGATGAATCAATAACATCATTTGAAATTATTGAATTACCTGAATTAGAAAGTGACACAGAATTTTTGTCCATATTAATTTCAGAAAATGATGATGTTGATATTGATGATATTACTTGAGGATTATCTAACGTTAAATTATTTGGTAATCTTGTTGTTTGATTAATTTGACTTTGTGGTTTAACAATAGTGGTATAAGGATTCACAGGTAAATTCAGTGATCTAATTTTTGGTGGTGTTTCTATGGAGGTTATTATTTGTCTACCAGGTATAATTACAAATGGTTTTATTCCTTTATTAAAGAATCCGGGAAAATTAATTGGTTCTGGTGGTTTTTCCAATTTTTCTCGAAACTTTTGTGCCAATTTTGGAAACGTTCTTCTTGCTAATGGTTTCTATAACATATATATATTTTTATATAAATTATTGAATAAAATTCAATATATAATGAATGTGAATGCTAATAAATAAAGAAAAAGAAAATTTCCTGAGATTGAAATATAAAATTATTTACCTGACCAGGATTTTTAAATGGACTTCCAAATGCACGTTGGTCTCTTTTTTTCTTTTTTCCAATATTATCTTCAAAGGGATCCCGTAATTCTTGTCTTTCTCTCTTTGCCATAACTTCCTCAAAATTTCCCATGATTAATGTATTAACGGAATGTGTAGAATCTATAAAAATATTAAATTAAAGTTATTCAATAATATCAATAAATATATAAAAAAAAATTAGACAATACCGGAAATACCGGGAATATTGGAAATACCGGAAATACAGTAAGAATAAAATAAGCAAACAATTAACCTAATTCATTTCCTGATTGTGCTAACATAGTAATCTTATGAATGTTTGTAAGAACCCTCTCTGCTTGTGTGATTCCTTTAATGTCCTATCAAATATAAGGAATTATAAAATTTATAAAACATTTATTATTATGAAAATTAAAAAGAAATAATAATTAAATTTTAAGACAAACCTTTTCGGGGTAAGGTGTGGGTCGTGTTATTGTCTAATATCAAATGTAAATTAATATATTAAGATGGATTATAAATTATTCAAGAATTCTATAATAATACATTTAAATATATATATATATATATAACATACATAACGATTTGATACTATATAATTCTTCATTTGTTCATATTTTAAATGGGCTTGGTGTACAATTTGACATAATAATGTATCAAGACCATCAGTTTTAGGTTTTGAAAAAAAAGAACCAGGAATAAATTTTTCAAGTCTACAAATGATAAATGATTTTGATAATGGCTTTGTAGATACAAAAAAAAAATATTAGAATAAAAAATAAATTGTAAATAGTATAAATGATTTTATCACATTTTACCTGGAGATAATACCAAGGCAAACTTTTACGATAATTTTCCATACTTTCTTTCCATAACGAAGGTGGATCAGAATATTGTTTTAATTGATCTTTTAATAAATAAATTAATAATTAAATTAATAATTAAATTAATAATTAAAAATCATCATAAATTTAAAATTAAAATAAAATTTCTAACAAAAATAAAAAACCAATTTACATTTACATACATAATAATTTAAATAATGAGGGATAGTTGTAAGGAAGAATTACTAAACTGACTTCCATTTCAGATTCATTCTTTTTGTTGACAGTCAAGTAACCAAAAGGTTCACCATATCCTGGTGATTTACTACTATTAAAAATATATATCTAATAATTTAAATAATTTAAATAATTATTTTTATGTAATTATAATTATAAAACATGGTAATTTAAAAATAAGTATTAGGTTACTTGCCGGCCATTTTGTACCGGGTTTTTGACACTTTAATTCCCGGGCCATTCCACATTCCGACACCACATAAGTATCTCTAGGGAAATTTGGTGGTATTTCATGGAATTTAAAATCATTCTTCTTCCAATATGAGATTGTTGGAATTGGCTTTCTTCGATTCTGAGTAATTACAGTAGATAATATTTTTAATTTGTAATTTTATTCCTCAAATCTTGATCTATTTTTTCTTAAATTTTTTTTTTTTTCAAATAGTTTATGTATACAAAAAAATTACCAATGATGCAGCGTCCATCGGAAATTTGACAACATCAGGTTCTATCCAAAATTCTTCGGGTATTGGGTAAAACCCTTCGAATTTTTGTGGATCAACATATATCTGACCGAGATCAGTGGAATCAAAATCTTTATCTTTTTTTTTTTTTTTAAAAAAAAAAAAGGTATGAATTGATTGAATAGATATACAATAGTGTAATCATAATAATTATAATATAATTCTTCGTAATGAAAAAAGGTGATTACTGTTTTTAGTTTCAACAAAATTCAAAAGGACTCCACATGTAGAAAATATGTTATATGGATAACTATCAGCAGCATTTTCGTAAAGTTCTTTATCAGTGCCGAGAATATTTCCTATTACTTTAATGACATCATCAGCTGTTTGCAAAAAATACAGTTGACCTAATATATGAAAAGAAAAGAAAATTTATACAATATAAGAATTAAATTTGATTAAATATTCTAATTGTAATTATGTCAAAATAAATTTTATACCTCGCATACTAGAATTTAATGAATGCAATTCTGGGGGTGCATCATAAGTTTCTGAAGAAAGAAATATGGTGTATAATTTTTGATCCCAACGATTTTTTCCTTGATAAAATAATGAAGTAGGAGATGATCCATGATCGGACTAGAACATTTTATAACGAATTAAAATTAATTTAATTATTAAATTTTGGATTGAAATTATTATAACATACGAAAAAAAAAAATAATAATAAAAAATACTTGATAATCGAGGCAAGATTTCAAAAAATTTAAATTTTTGCCATCAGTGAACCAAAATATCCCTGTAGTTTCATTGTGCTCTACATATCTTCCCTAAATAAATAAATAAATAAATATAAATAAATAAATATATATATATATATAAACAGAATTTTCAAGAATCAAACAAATATAATATAATAAATGGTCTGACTATAATAAAATATACAATTGCTAACATTTACCCTATAGAAAGAATCCATATATCTAATCATTCTACGAAAACTCAACAATTCAAATACTGCTGCAAGACCTGATCCATTCTTTGAGGGTTCAGTAGGAAGTAACAACTCCAATTGTTCCAAGAACGTATAAATTGGATCATGATAATCGGTCTTTTATTAAAATAAATTATTATATTAATATTTAAATCAATTTGGTGTTTTATATACGTTGACGAATTTTATGTTTACCTTTATACAATAACGTGGATCATCAGATGTTGCTAAGACATATTTGACACCATTATATTTCCCGTTATTCACTTGCTTTTTTTTAAAAAAAAAATAATATATAGATATAGATATATATAAATATTAAATTAAAGGATATTGGGTTAGGGTTAGGGTTTAGATCAGATAGAAGTAAATAGTAATCATAATCAATTTCATTCTTACCGTATTGTCGTCTGTTAAAAAAAAAAATAGTGATTATAGAAACTTTTCCCTGAATTTATTCTTACATACCCAATCAAAACCCTAACCCTAATTACTTGGGGCAAATTAAGATAGTGTTTTTAAAGCTAACATGAACAAAACTTCGAATGGCTAATTTGGCAAGATTCAGTAGGTTATACCCATTTTGGGTCTTTGAATCGTAAACGTCCACAAGAAATACAATAATCATCTCTGAAAGAACGCGTTTCAAAAATCAAACTCTGTACAACCCATGTATTGTGGATTATGACGAAATTTTAATTAGAAATATGCTGTGTTACCTTACGTTACACGTAAATTTATATAATTTTTAAACTGTCCCTAAGTTATCAAATATCTTTCCTCACGTCTAATTCACTTCCCAAATTAATTAGTTAAGTGAATAGAACTCGAAAATTATTTATTTTTTTTCGAGCAATATTTATTTGATGCAAAAATAACTTAAGACAATGCAAAACATCACGAATACATCAATTATAAGCATGCGAAACAACAGCAGAATACATCAGGAGGAAAACCTCCCCTTTTTTATACATTTTTAGTCATTTGGTTTTGCTTGTCAATAATAACCAAAGTAAGCTTGATAAACTAAAAGACAAAAGTAACTTCTTGTAAAGAACCCCCTGGATAAATTCCCGAATAAAAAATAGTTGTTCAAAAGAATTTCACGTGATAAACTCTGTCGCATCAGATTCTGAGATCTATATAATAATAAATATGTGATCTCACACTATACACTAATGAATAATTTACTTAGACTTTCACACCTATAACAATATTATATTATACTTTTTTTTTAACAGATCCTTAATTCAAACGATAGCTTTTGTTATTTATTTCCACTTTAATTAAAAGATTAAACTCACATTTACCCATGTCAATTTAATATGTCAACAATAAAAATGTCTTCTAACACTAGACCAATAAAATCGTCCCGCGCAAGACGAAACCCGAATCCTAATTGGCGTGAAGATTTTTATCGCAATGGCCTTCCGGATGACAAAGTAACAAGGAAATCGGATTCGTCACAGTCTTATCCTCGATTACCACCTATGCAAATAGAAACTAGGGGAATGAAGCGAAACAGGCGCATCTCTCCTATAAGCAATAAACATATACCAGCCTCCCAACTATCAATTCAACCAACATATAAAAGACGACGAAAGGATGAAACTCAACTCAACCAATACGTTGAGAATAACTATCGCGCTCCCATTTCGAACACTTCTCATACTTCAAATCATTATCGTGAGCAAATTTCGGTTAAAGTAAGTGAAAAATACGCATCACAATATTTCATTAAAAATCATCTAATAAAAACCAAAGTTGGATATTATCTTTTTTAATTTATATAATTTTTTATAAATTCATTTTATAATCCTTATTATAATTATTATAACGTTTCGTTTCTAGTATTATTCAAAAAAATAAAAAATAAAAATATGCAATTTTTGTTTATTCATAATTATATTAAAAAGCATGGAATTTACTTCTTTTTTTTTTCCTTTATTCTTAGTCTCATTCATCTATAGATTCATCACGTCAAGTTGTAATACCTAATCATGACGAAAAGGATGGTCATTATATTGTAAAAGTTGGTGAAATATTGGAGAATAGATGTAAGTTAATAAACAAATTTTATTGATTATTCTTTTAAATCTTTCATTATTGAAAAATTGAATAATTTATTCTCTTTATACTTCATATAGACAAAATTCTTGGTCAATTGGGGCAAGGTACTTTTGGAAAAGTTGTTAAATGCTTAGATCGTTCAACGAATCGATTAGTTGCGGTAAAAATCATTCGCGCAGTTCAAAAGTATCGTGATGCCAGTCGAATTGAAATTCGAGTATTAAATACTTTGAAAGAAAAAGATCCCGATAGTGTACAGTACGTATTTAATTTTTTATGTTAACTAAACAGAAAAACCTTTTTTTACATTATCCTTTCTTTTTTTTTTCCAATTATTTAGTAAATGCATCCAACTTCGTGATTGGTTCGATTATCGTAACCATATTTGTATGGTCTTTGATTTATATGGGATTTCTCTCTTTGATTTCCTCAAGCAAAATGATTTTAATCCATTTCCCTTCAATCAAATTCAACATATTGCAAGACAACTACTTTATTCTGTTGCCTGTATCCTTTATAAATTCATTAAAATTTCATTCTTTATTATAGATATTTTTATATGCGTTTTTCTTGACAAATTTTTTCATTACAGTTGTGCATTCGTTACGATTAGTGCATACAGACTTAAAGCCCGAAAATATTTTACTGGTGAACGATTATTATAAATGCATTCCATCTAGGGTAAGTATTCAATTCTTTAACAATTTAAATTTTTTATTTTTATTTTTTTTTATTTTAAACAACATGTGTTTATATTTTTATACTTATCTAGCGAACTCCTGGTAAAATGAAACGCATATTATATGAATCTGAAATACGTTTGATTGATTTCGGTAGCGCTACGTTTGATGACGAGTATCACTCTTCCGTAGTGTCAACCAGACATTATAGGGCACCTGAAGTTATATTAGGTTAGTATGTAAAATTCCCTTTATTAAAAAAAAGTTGTCTTTATTAAATTCCTTTTTGATCTTTTTTTTTTAGGATTGGGTTGGTCGTATGCCTGTGATCTTTGGTCTGTTGGTTGCATCCTTGTTGAATTATTTACAGGCGAAGCATTGTTCCAAACCCACGAAAATTTGGAACATTTAGCCATGATGGAACACATACTTGGTAGAATTCCCGATAGAATTATCAAACAAATGTGGTATGTTTCGATTACTTTATAAATTATTATCATTAAATTATTATCATCATTAAATTATTATCATTAATTATTATTTATTATTATTATTATTAAATTATTATTGTTAATATAGTCGTGCAAATCAAATCAAATATTTTAAGGGAAATAAAATTCTTAATTATCCAAATGATGAAACAACTAAGCAAAGTCGCAAATACGTAAGATCTTTGCGCACTTTAGAGGTGAGTCTTAATATAATTTTTGAATGTACGGAATTATTTCAATTTGGAATTAGAAATTTTATTTATTTAATATTTTATTAGGAAATCATCGAACCCGAAAAATCTCCTTTCAGAGAACAATTTTACGATCTTCTACAACAACTTTTACTCTATGATCCTAATGAACGAATTACAGCGCGAGATGCTTTGAGGCACTCTTTCTTTTATATGTCATTTGACGAGGAGGGTAGACAAATTCGACAGATTTATTGATGTACAAAAAATTGAATTGAATTTAGAATAATGGATGGGGCCTTTCTTCAATACTATATATATGTGTATATATGTGTATATATATAGAAATGCTAATATTTGATTAAGAACACTTCATTTTATTCTCATATAACTTCATTGTCATTCAAATGGTTTCATTCATGTATATTTGCGTATTTATTTCTTGTTTGTAATTTTTTTTTTTTTCTTTGAATAATTTTGCATTTTCCTTTATTGTCTCTGCTTCATATTTAATGATAGCATAGTTGAAGGTAGAGTTCAGGAGTTAGAAAGGCATGGATGTTGATTTGCTTTAAAACCTCTTGTAATTGTTTCTTTGTTACTTTTACTATTATATAACAAGCATATTAATGTTGATTGGTCCTAAAATTACATGCTTTTCTCTAGATTTAACGATTTTCAGAAGTCATTTGGAATATCTGTTAATACCAGGTTAGGATATGAATTTTTTCATAAACACAATTTGTGTTATGAGAACTTTGGGTAAATTTAAATTATAGTTTAAATATTTGATCAAAGTAATATCAAATTGTAGATCTGCATTAATCAGATCTAATTGATAACATTCTTGTCTCATTTGTTGTATCCTTTATTTATTATTATTTTTTTTTTGTAAAGTACAACTTTGCCCACTTTGAAAATAAGTTATAGATTATAAATAATTTAATTTTCACCTTTAAGTAAAACTGAATATATTATTATTGGTAAGTATAAGGGTGAGTGCTTAAAATGATTTCAACAATTTCAACAATTTTCACTTTGAAAAAATTATAAATCCTAAAATTGTTTTGTATATAATAATTCTATATATAGATAATATGTTGTAAAATATAGAGAATTATATTATCACGTGTAAATCATGTAAATATGTTATGTAACACTGGTCAAATAAATAACTTGGTACTCTTGATACTATTACACTTTAGTAAACAAATTAATTATATAGTTGACCATGTATGTTTACTTTATTAGTAAAAATAGATATTCCAAATTGTTCTTATCAAAAAATAAAGTAATCGGTGGAATGTTTAAAATTTCATAAAAGATTTGTTAAGCAAAGTTTTTATGACATAATTTTATGTAATAATATTTAATATTTCGCAATACAATAATATATACTGTATTTATGATTTTAAAATTAAAGATTAGATTTTAGCGATATTAATGTTTTATAACTTGTTGGATTAATCTCATTAAGAGAAATCAAACGGTTGTTTCGATATTGATGGAGAAATTTCAATTTAAACATAAGATATAATTCTTTATGATATTTTTATGCTGATTAGAATCTTCGAAATTTTAAAACAAAATAAAATTGTCCCTGATTTTTTTTTCATACGATTTTTGTGTTCTTAATGAAACTTCCCTATTTATTATCATTAATAAGAAAAAAAAATCAAAGATTACAAATAATAACATTAAAAAAATTTAATTTAAATAAATATTTCTCTATGCACGTGATACTAATGTCTTATGTAATAAAATGTAATGGAAAATTCTATCAATCGTTATATCATAATGCACTTACGATCTGGTCTGTTCATCATGCAAAAACTTTCTATTCTAGAAGCATTTTAATATGGTAAATCTGTTAAATCTGTGCAATTTATTCTATTATTAGTCACAGCTAATCACATGTACACATATAATATTAAACTAGTCTTTTGATTTAATTATATCTTTAATAGTTATGCCTTTTTGGTTTGTTTATTTAAATTTCAATAAGATTAAATAATAAAATTCTATTATTAGTTTTGGTGTAATTACATTTGATAAAAATAAATATACGTTTATTATAAATCATTAGTAATGAGTAAACTAATTATGTCTACTGTTACTCATAAAAACAAGGTTACATAAACATTATAAATATTAAAAGCACAAAATTCAAACAGTTTTAATATTCAAAGAAAATTATATAAGCTTCCAACTTTTCGACTTTTAGCACTCGTAAACATTTTTATTTTTCATTTTTGTGTATTATTAATTTATAAATTTATTTATTTAAAGAATTCTCGGTATTTTAAATTTAAAATCTTAAAGTTTTCTATTCTTCCCAAAAGTTCTGCGAGTTCTGTATAAAGTAATTTCGGTTGATCTTTTATAATTAGCATAGTTTTATAGTTATTAGTTATCTCTATTTTTAGTTTACCAATCATTTTTTCATAGAAAATAAATTCTTAGAAATTTAAATAATTAAAATTTTTTACCTAAAAAAATCAAAACTTTATAATGGACCACATCTCATTCCAAGATTTTAATTCTTCAGGATATATTTATTCTACAACTGCTTCTAATTATAATCAAAAAGAACATTCCGTTTCAACGGAAAATATTGATAACTTCTTTCCTGATCAAACTAATTTTCAAACCTTTGCTCAAGATATAAATTGTGAATATCTTAATTTCAATTTTCAACAACCATCACCGCATATTAATCTATCGGAGTATACTCCCTCTTATGGCTCACCCGAGAGTTTCTATGAATCTCTAGATTCTTCTCCTTCTATCTCTGATTATGAACCTTCAGATGGCTATTCATCTGGTGTTTCTTCTCCAAATCTCACTACCGATTCATTATATTTTACTACTCAAGATAATCATGATGATTTATTACAATTTGATCATTTAAATAATATGTTCGAAGATGAATCTCTTGATTCCTTTCAACATTATCAAAATTTAGATATTTCAACTTCGGTCCCTGTAATCGACTTAAAACCTTTTGAAACTCATCTTAAACTTGATACTAACATATCGTCCGTGGTCATGAATCAATCTGGTGATTCCATTAATTTCCTGAATTCAAATGATTTTTCTCAATGTTTATCAGAAAATCAAAATAGTCCAATATTCAATTTCGTTCCTGCAACTCCCATAACACCAACGAAGGAATCTGAAATTTCGGATCCTATTTTTTCTTATTCTCCACCTACTTCCATTCAGTCAACTACAACTACCCCATCTTCCCAATCATCTAAAAAATCCGAATCGTCACGTGATAGAACAAATGTCTCCCATCACAGGAGTCATCGTAAATCTCTTCCAAGTGATATGATAAAACGTTTACACACAATGAATTTGGCACCCCCAAAACCAGCTCGAAAATCAAAAACTTTCGCACCATTCTCTTGTCCTTATGAAGATTGTCAGAAAACCTTTACTCGTCAATATAATCTAAAATCTCATTTACGTACTCACACTGACGAAAGACCATTTCTTTGTGGTTATCAAGGTTGTATGAGGGCCTTTGCAAGACAACATGATCGTAAAAGGCATTATAATTTACACTTGGGATTTAAGCCTCATGTTTGTGGTCATTGTGGTCGTGCATTTGCTAGATTGGATGCTCTCAACAGACATCTCAGATCTGACAGTGGTGCACCTTGTGCTCAAGCTACCCTTCCTAATGCTGGCGCAAAAAAATTTAAACCCGTTAACATGTAACAAAATTTGCATAATAACTATTTAACATATTTTTAAATTTTAATTTTGAATTTTGATTTCTAATTTCTTAGAATTTCTTGTAATTAGATAAAAATAAACACTTGTACATATTCATTTCGATTTTTTCTGAAAAATTAATTCTTTTTATTTTCGATTCTCGTAAAAAAAAAATTGGCATTCTTAATTAACGAACAATTGCAAAATCTGAATATAATACTTAATTCGAATTTTATTCTCATCCTTGAACATCAAATTTCCAATAAAATCATATAAATACAGACATATTAATTCTCATCATATATACTTCATAGCATTCAACACAATACTTGCATTTTTAAGCATTTTGATATTCTCAAAACACGCATAACACATGAACAATTAAGCTTTAAATCTAATCTAAGATTTTTTTTCATGATTTCAACAAAAGATAATATTAATGTAATAAAAATAATAAAAAAAAAATCAATAATTTTTGGCTTGAGCTTTTAAAAATTTTATATTATCGTTATACTTTTACGAATTAAAAGAAAAAATATTGAGTAAAAACTTAACAAAGTCACTCTTGTATAAAAATTCAAAGATATGAAATAATAAAATTAATTTATATTGCAAAACCGTGTATTTTTGGTTTTTTTTTTTTTTAATAACAGGTCAAATTTTTTTATTTTAATAAAGATCATCGCAAATACAAAAAAAAATATTTATAGTATTAGGATTACTTCAATTACAAACTAAGGACAATTCAATAAAAGAAATGTAACTTATGAATTTATACGGACGATGCATCTAAAAAATCACCTGTCCCCCGTCCAAAAATTACTAGGAATCTATCAAAAGACGAAATTTAGTATAAAAATACCATATTCTCAATAATAAAACTTAAAGACAGAAACTTACGAAAAAAATCTTCATAATGAACTATTATTGAAAGTGATATTTTTAAAAAACTTGAATTTGAATTACAGATTTCTGGAAAAAGGAACGGATTTTTAGATCAAACATATATATTCAATGGCACATTCATTCCTGATAAAGAAAAAACAATCTTCATTTTATTTACTCAATGCATTCTTTCATTAAATCATTCAACTCATTCAACGCATTTAATGACATTGTGCCTGATAATCAAAGTGATACTTAAATGATTAAAAAAGGGAATCACTATTAATTTGAATAAGAAGAATAAACTTTATTTTCTACATTCATGCCTGATAAGGAAGCAAAAAATAATAATAATAAGTAATTGTGGATTAAATAAAGTCTTGCTTGATTTGATACATAAAGTATTATAATTATTTTTATTCACAATTAATTGTGATTGCCTTTTTAAATCATTTAACTAGATTAATTATATGTGCGACTTCGTGGTTTTTTTATTTTTAATTTTAATAATAATAAATATTTGATTGGTTTAATTATTATTTCGTAACTGTCCTATATTTCGACCATAGTAAAAACGTATTTTTTTTTTCATGTAATTTGTTTTTTTATTAAAAAAAATTTTATTGGATCCATACAAAAATAAATATTCTAGATTTATTTTATTTTTAATCAATCTATTTTTATATTTAAAAAAACCATAATTATTAATTACTATAATTATATAATTAAACTATTATCGATATTAATTAAATTTTAAATTTTTTCTAATAGTACATATAATAAAAATGAAAATTGATCATTTTGTTTTTTTTATTATAATATGAAGTTATAAATAAAACAATTAATGAGCATTTGAATTTATAAATTCTATTATAATTTTTCATGTTGTATGGAACAATTTCACTAACCTGTGATCCACTTTTTCAGATCTATAGCTCATTAGATTCTTCTTATTGAGGCAAACATTTTGGTAATTGGTTCATCCAAATTGGACTTCTCTATACAAAGTTATTAATCAAACCATTTGTTTCATCAGTAGGTAAAATTTTTTTATAAACTTTGATAGTATTTACTATAAAAATTTTTAGACTTATTGGATGAATAAAATAATAATGATTAATAATTTAATTAAAATCAATAATAATAATAATAAATAGTTATATGTTTTTATACATGTTATCCAAATCCCAATTACTAATATTTGGGATTTGGGATTTTGACAAAAAATACTAATTATAATTTGAAATTTAAAATTTGAATTTTGGTATTGTGGCAGGTATATTTTGATTCAGTTTGATCTTATCACCTCATCAATTCAAATTAGTCCTATCAACTTGAGTAGTTTAATTTAGTTCAAGTTAATTAAATAGTTTAATTCAGCTTAACTTGTCAACAGTTTGACTTGACTTTGACCTCAAGCTAGATCAAACTAAATCATTAACAACACTAGCCTAGTTATAGATCAAGGAACTTCTAATTTATTTTTCTAGTAATTGGTTGTAAATAAATTTTATTGACAAAATAATAAAGATGAAAATCCATTATTCTCATATTTTTTTGTATTAAATATTTTTTTTACATTTATTTTTATATTTACTTGAATTGAATTGAATTTATTTTTGATTTTTCTGTTACAAATTCTAGTAATACTATTAAAAATTATATTGGTGAAAAGTTATTTTTATTTATATTAAGAACAGTAATACTGAAAACTAATACTTAAATATATTCAAATTTATTCTTTAGTATTTAATTTTATTGATATAATAATTTTATTAAATTTCTTATTTTAATACTTTTTTGTTTTTTTTTATTATTATCTTTTTTCACAAAAAACAATTTCTAAAATAATACTATTTTTCTTATTACAAATGTTTATTTTTATTTAATAAGTAAAAAGTTATTATTTAAAGATATGTTTTTTTCTTTTTGATTTTTAGTTACAATAAAATTTTTTTTTGTTAGATTCTCAAAAAATATTTTTATAAAATAAATTGTAAATAAATATATTTTTTGTTTGAATAAAATAATTTTTTAAAAAAAATTAGTTTATTTTAGTTTCTTATTATTAATAAATAATTAATTATTAATAATAGTTTTATTTATTTATTTTTATTATTAGTTAATTAACAATTTTTTAAATTAACAATTCAATCTTTAATTAACTAATTGATTAGATAAACAAAAAAATATTAAAATTTGTATTTATTTTTTTTTAATTATTTTTTTTTAAAAATTAAAATCAATTAGTTTACTCTAATTTTTTATTATTAATAAATAAATAACTACTAACAATAATTTTCATTTATTTACTTTTTTATCTATTAAAAATTCTTATATAATTGTTTATTTATAATAAATTAATGATTCAATTTTTATTTATTCATTATTAATAAGAACAAATAAATAATTATACATTTTTATTAAAAATACTTAATTAAAATAATCAAATATATTAAAAATTAAATAAAAACATTCTACAATATTATATGAATACTGTTTTATAATATTATTTGAATAGTACTAATATACTAGAATATAATATTTTAATATATTATTATGATATAAAATGCAACACTATACAGTCGAACCTATATAAAAGCATACTGCATATAAGCATACGCATAACTTGCATATGCATAAAAATTTTTTGATTATATAGGACGTATATAAGCATAATCACGTGTTAATAATTATGCGTAATCTCATCAATTTTGATTTTTTTTTTTATATTCATTTAATTTTTTATTCATCCATCCATCCATCCATCCAATTCATTTTTTATTTATTCATTTAATCCATCCGTTCCTCCGTCCGTCCGTCCGTTTTCTTGTGCCTATTTGCTTTTTTATTTTTTTATCATTATTTTATTTATTTTTTTATTATTTATTCATTAATCCGTTTATTCTTTTATCTATTAACTATTCATCTATCCATCCATCCAATTCATTTTTTATTTATTCATTTAATCCATCCGTTCCTCCCCTCTGTCCATCCGTCCATTTTTCTTGTGCCCATTTGTTTTTTTTATTTTTTTATCATTATTTATTTATTTTTTTATTATTTATTCATTAATCCGTTTATTCTTTTATCCATCAACTCCTTTACTTGTTTGTTTGCTTGCTCATTCGTACGTTCGTTCGTACGTTCATACGTTTGTACATTTCGTTCGTACGTTTTGTTCATTTGTACATTCGTTCGTTCAATTATTTTTTTCATATGTAATACCAACTTTTATCATTATATTATCATCATTATCTATTATCATCATTATTTAATCATCCCCCTTTTTTTGATTTTTGAATACGCGATTGAATTATGTGATTTATGTCTTTTTCCAAGAATAAACGTCAAGTAATTACCAAAACCCATTGAAATACCATATCTAAAAAGAAATGTGAGAATTCAAAACTGACACAATCTGATATTCAAAAATGGATAAAATAAGAATTTGGTTTTAGAGTAAATTAATCAACAATATCAAGAATATTATCGGGACCTATTGAGTTTTCTGAGGAGACAAATATAATATGCTGTATAAAATCGTGAATACATATTTATTAACAACTTATTATTAAAACTTATTTCTTTCTTTTTTAGTGT